CCCTCTGAGTCTTCTTTATTAAGATTTACTTTCCCATTGACAGACAACTTCATAGCTATATGATAGATAGAGAGATAGATGATAGATAGATAGTGGATAATAGGTGATAAAATTTTTTCAAGATGAACAACACAATGCTACTGCAATAGAAACTATTGAATAGAGTGAGAATGATGCATTATGGGTTTTCCTTTCAACTGGTTAACTGCCGATACATTTTTTTCATAAGGGAGCAAAGCCACATATATGATATATGTACATAGATATACATACATATATATGCATACATATACATATATATGTGTGTGCAGTGCATATAAATATGTCAGACAATATTTTAAGTGCTCTATATCTACTGTTGCATTTAAAGCACTCAGTGACATTGATGTATCTTTATCTTGATTTTAGAAATAAAAAAATCAAAGAAAAGCAGTTTGTGTAAATTTCTTACCACACAGCTTTTAACTAGAATCTTGGAATCCCAGCAGGATCCTCATCTCTGGTAATCTAAAATGTTTTAAATTCTCACTGATGCTAAAGGAAATTTTTCTTGTATACTGAAATCTGGGTGTATAATGAACAATACTAGCTCAAAGTAGGCATGTTTGAATTTGATAGTAATTATACTTTGTGACTGAAAGTTTAATTCAATTAAATTAATGTATCCATATAAAGTCATATTTAATTATATTTTGATGAAATTTAAAACCTAATATAATATCTCTCCTTCGTACTTGGAGGTGTCATTAATGAGACAAAGTATTTGATGCTGATAAAATTTTTCTATGTATCTCTAAAATGAAGTACACATACAAGATTCTAAATAATAATGAAAGTGACCATTTGATCAGTTTCAATGTTTGTATTTTAGATATTTTTAGTTCCTTAAGATAATTAGTATTTTAGGCTCTTTCATCAGTGTATTTTTAATTTTTTTCTGGAATAGTACATTTTTTAATTGATCCCCTTTTTTAGTACATAACGATAGCATTCATTATGGGGACTTGGTAGATGCACGTGAAGTTTCTTAATTCTCTTTTTAACTCTCTTCCCTCTCTCCTCCTTGCATTATATATATAATATAAATATTAAATATATTATTATATACCATATATATTGTACATTTTATTACATATTATTTTATATAATGTTTGTGTTATGTGATGATCACGTTCTTCCTAGAGACTTGGTGCATGTACATAGCACTTCACATTCCCCCTCCTTTTTTTTTTTGTACTGGGGTTCCAACTCTGGACCTTGTGCTTGCAAGTCAGATGGCAGAACCACTGAGCTAAATCCCTGGCCTTTCCTCCCCTTTTTTAATCACATTTCCCTCTCCTACCTCCACTTCCCTCAGTACATTTTATTGAAGTACAGTAGTGATACCTCTAAGAGATTATTATGTCATGGGGACCCCATCCCTAGAGTAAGAGAAGAATAATGTAGTTCTTCAAAAGCCTGGTTAATTTCCACCTACAGCATGTTGTCCCTGCTACTCTGCTTTCTCTTTCATCATGTGATCACTTGCCCACTTGCCTACCATTCTGCAGGGAATCCATTTGCCATGTGATGCAACAGAGGTGCTCACCAGATATAGTTTCCTGATCTGTCCTCTGGAACTGTGAGCCAAAATCAACTTCTTTTCTTAACACATTACCCAGACTCAAGCACAAAAAATGCACCAAGAGAGTTCCCATACATGCCAACTATAGCTTGCCCTATGACAACAATTTACATTATTGTGATACATTTGCTAAAAACAAATAATGATCACAGCACATTTTTATTAACTGAAGCCCATAGTTCAAGGAGATTTCCTTAGTTTTCTTTTAATCTTATGATATATTTCTTTTATGGATTCCATGCAGAATATGACACTAAATTTAATTATCATGTCTTCTTAGGCTCCTCTTGATTATGAAAATTTCTCCAACTTTTCTTGTTTTTGACCTTGACAACCTTGAGGAGTATTTGTCTGGTATTTTTGTAAGATGCTCCTCTGTTGAAATTTATCTGATTTTTTTCATACACACTGCTTATGGAATTTGAGGAGGATGGCCAAAGAGTTAAAGTGCCATTTTTGTAATATTATATTAAAGTCATGTATTATCATCATAAATTATTATTAATGATACTAATCTTGATCATCTGAGTTAGTATTTTTCAGATTATTCTTTAATACAATTATTTCTATATCACACTGCGTGGAAGACAGTCATGGTGTAAAGCCTACCCTTGACCAGGGAATTGTGCTACATGCTACTGAGGGAGAATTCAGAATTTTTCTGAATGGAAGATTTGTGTCTTTTCCTCCATTTACATATATATTCCATCATTTATTTATGTCAGTGTGAACTCACGACTATTCCAATATTACTTTATTTTGTTAAGTCAAATACAGAGATTCGGCCACAGAGAGTGCTTTCAGTTGGCTTCTGTGTCCTTCACATTTGTTTTAATTTGCAATTTCCTAGTAACAAATGATATGGAAGAACTTTTTATGTGTTTTTTTCCTTACTTGTATAACTACTTTGATAAGATATCTATTTAGAATTTTCCCCACTTTTTAATTATATTGTCTTATTGTTGAATTTTAAGATTATTATATATTTTGAATATAATGTTGTAATTAAAGTTAGTCTTTTACCTGGTTCTACTTGTCACCCTAGGCTGTGATTTTTATATCTTAGTGCTTTTTCTTCTTAGGTGAGAAAGGGACTAGTAAAAGGGTTTGGACATAGATAGGGAAATGAATTTTTCCCAGGTAAGATAAGTCACCAGGGAAAGTCATTTCTCCTGGAGTGCAGGCCTTACACTGATAGATGCTCTGGGCAATTTTTTTTTTTTCTTGGTACCGGGATTGAACTTGGGTCCTTGCACTTGCTCAGCCGGCAGCGAAACCACTGAGCTAAATCCCCGGCCCTACTCTGGACATTTTTTAAGGTGGTTATTTTCCCCTTACCCTACCACAGTCACCAAGGAGTTTCTTTACCCTTAAAGATGAGACCATTATGGGACTCCTTGGAGGAAGTATGAGCCCATCTACTTAAGTTTCTCACTCATTCTGTAGCCAAAATGCAGCAATTTATCAAATTTGCAATTTAAAATTATTGCTAAAAGCTGAGAATTTTAATTTTTTGGCCCCTGTGAGTGGATCTCTTCTTGACTGTGGAATTGCTTATCTCCACAGATATGAGGGGTTCTAGTTTCTCCTCAGTTCTTTGATAGGCCCAAGAAAAACCATTTCCTGTCTGTTGATTTGTTCTGTTTTTTTCTTGTAATAATGGTATGCATAAGCAAAAGTTAAATGTTTCAAAATATAAACAATACCAACATTAACAGAGAAAGACATATTTGTTATAAATAGACCTTAAATGAATACAGGTTGGATAGGATTATATATTTTATATAACTTATACATTAATAGCTTCATCTACACTCTATGTTTAAAATGCATCTCTATTTCAATAGGTATCTTTGAGGAGACTAGAAAGAGAACATTTACAATGGAAAGAACTCATAAAGAAGTTAATTAATATGTAGATAACATATTATAATATTGACATCTATGTACATAGAATGTTGTGTACCCTGATTGTGCTCTCAATTTCAAAGTTTTGACCCAAACTACTAACAAATCTAGTTCAGTTTTCCTTCCATCTTACAAGGTTTAAATTCAGTAAAGCGGCTAGAATGACTTCTACTACTCTTTGAATAAAGTCTTAAGGAATATTTTAAAGGTCTCAGATAAAATGGAAAAGTATCAATAAAAATGTGCTCACCACATATCAGAAAAAAGTAAGAGTTTTAAGAAATACTACATTAAATGTAGAATGTTTGATTGAGCATAGAGCATTTGTAATTTTATGACAAATGTGCAAAAATACTACAACAAAAATAAAGACATATAAAGCATAAAAAGTACAAAAGTCAGTCCAATATATATATTCTAAATGACATGCTATATATGATATATTATATATATAAATAATTGGAAAAAAGAAGAAAGTATCCACAAGTGTTTCATGCTATAGAAAAATCTGAAGAGAATGTAACTTTCAATGAGAGAAGGCATCAAATATCAGACAATTACAAGTATGGATAAGCTGAACAGAAAGAAATGTATAGGAAACCAAAGCAACACCATTGCAAAACTAATCAAATAGAAACCAATAAGAAACAGATTAAAAAAATGTGGAAAATAAAATTCACACCAGAGAGAGTCATGAGTTAATCTTAGTGAATATAAAGGGGAAAGAAATCTGGTATGGTTGTGCATGGCATTAATTCCAGCACTTGGAGGACCGAAACAAGAGGAGAGTGGCAGAAAATTTAGGGCCAGCTGGGATACACAGTGAATGCAAGACCTATTGGGAGACTCTCAAAATATATATATATATATATATGATCCCAAGATATATATGTATATATCAAGTATATATATATACATACACATATACACATATATACAAAACGTATATATATACATATGTATATATACAAAGAAGTTATGTCATAGTAGAAGTTATATCTGAAATTAAAATATCTTGCCCATAAATATAAAGGCATACAGTTTTCAAGAAATTTATTATAATAGCCACTTTCTTAACATTCTGGTAAAATGATTGAATTTCAAGGATAAAGAAAGAATTCATCAGATATCCAAGAACTTAAAAAGGAGATAAATCTGGCTGGGATCAAATGCATCCAAGGAAAAATGAAGTGCCAGAAGATAACAGATCAATATTTACAAAATTATAAGGGAAAAGGTGTGTTTCAATAATATTATAACCAGGAAAGTTGTTATCCAAGTACAAAATGGCGATACTGGCATACTTAATCATGCAGAACCTCAAAAAGTCACTCTTCATCCTATCTTAGCATAAAATTATGTAAGAAATAAATGAAATATTTGTAAAACAACTTAATAATGCACATTAAATTAATATACTTGAAGTAAACTGCAATTAATAGAAATACTTTCTAAAAGGTAATTCAATTAATATATCAGCATAAAAATAATATATTACAAAGAAGAAATTCAATTACTAAGTATTAGATTGGTACTCTATATTAGCCAGTTTTCTCATTCTGGAACACAATACTTAATATCTACAACCTAAAGGAAGTAAAGTTTAATTTAATGACTATAGTTTCAGGAGAGTCAGTCCATGATCAGATAACTTCAAAGAAGAAACACCATGCCAAGAGAGTAGGGTGAAACAAATCTGGTAAGTTCATGGTGAAAGGGTAGGGGAAATTTTCCAAAGGAAACAGAGCCAGGACCATAAGTAGTACTCAATTTAACAACCCGTGATGCATCCAAAAACATACAGAAAGTGTCCTTTAATAATCCCCTGGACTTTGTTAATCTAAATACATCTCCTTCAACCAAATTTAATATCCAAATAAACACCATAATAAGTTAATAATTTCAACATTATACAGCTACCTTGCATATAAATAAAAACACAATAATGTCTTCTTCAAGGTCTCCACAGTTTCAGCATTATTTAAAATTCCAGGTCAAAATTTCCTCTGAGACCCCAGGCAAAGTCTTAGCTGTGAGTCTCTGTAAAAAACAAAACAAAACAAAAAAACCCTGTAATCTCAATGACCAAGGCAGGGAATCAACATTCCAGTTTCAAAAGGGAAGAATAGGGGATAGAAAAGAATAGGACCAGAGCAAGCCTAAAACCCAACAAGGAAAACATTAGATGCTGTAGCTCCATATCTGGCATTGAGCACACCCAGTGTTAAGATGTGAGTTCCAAAGGACTTGGGTGTGCTCACTCCAAAGCCTTGTTCTTGGGTTAGCTCTGTTTATAGATGGTAGCTTTACTCAGCAGACCATTCACATTCTTGGCATCTCCAACTTCCTGGAGGACTTCATTGTAACTTGCACTTCATTCCCACGTCTTCACACACTGGCATCTCAGGGCCTCCTTGCCTGGTCTTCCAAGCCTTCCTTTGAATTCTGGGTAGAAGCCTTTTTGACCCTCAACTCTTGCAGTATCCATGGCAGTAAAACCAATGCGATATGGATGACACCAAGATCTGCTTTCAGCAGGAGCAGTACCAGGTCCCTTAGGACCACGGCTATAGTGGTCTCGGAGTGCCTGGATGGCTAAGCATAATGAAATTAATACTACAGAACAAAATCTCAAGAAGATTTCTCTCAAGAAAGGGTATCAGGGACTCTCATCTCAAATGAAAGCTTGATACTTATGCCTGGTTGAGGTCTTGTTGATTTCTGTGACATCCTTAAGACATCTTTCTTTTTCCTAAGACATCTTTTCTTTTTCTACTTGGTTTCTTTTTGTTAATGGTGCTAATTTCTTCAGCCTCAAATTTGGTCCCAAATTTTCACATTGTTCATTCTGGGGCAATTTTAATATTTCCCCTAAATTTTCTGCTTTCCTTTTAGTCTCTGATTCTTAGTAAAAGTATGGGTCAAACCAGCCTGGCAGTGGCCATGCCACAGCCTGAGTTTTGGAGCATTTTGAAATTTCTTTTTCCAGTTTAACTAGTGGAATTCCCTTAATCTCAGTCTTCAGGCCATGGGCAATATATACACAAATTTTTGCTAGAATATAACACACATGACCTCTAGTCCAAGTACAAATGGAGTCCTCATTCCAAAATGAAATCTCCTGGGCTTGGCCTTTAATGTCTACATTCCTATCACCATTCTCATTTTCTGAGCTCTGAGGCAAATCACCCATCCATCTCTGTTTTGCATTTTAGGGCTTTTCTAGAATGTATCTCCAAACTTTTTCACACATCTGCTACAAACCAGTTCCTAAGAATTCTAAACCACATGGCCAGGTACATTCATAACAAGGACCCCATTCCTGGTACCAATTTTCTTTATTTGTTAGCTTTCTTTTTGCTGGGAAACAATACCTGACCTCAATATTTAATGGAGGAGAGACTTAGTTTAGCTTGTGGTTTCAGGGCATTCAGTCCATGAACAGCTGGTTCCAAGCCAAAAGCATTGTAGTAGGTTGAGCAAAGCTACTTAATTTTTGGTGTCCAGGAAGCAGAGCAGGGGAACAGTACCAGAAAGGAAAAGGGGAAAGTGACCATACATTTACTGGATTTAATGTCATGGCTCCATGCCCTACCAGAAACACACAGAAGTTTGCTTTACTAATCCCCTGGGCATTGCTTACACAATCAAGTTGACATATCATTATAAATTGTCACATACTTTGGAGTGTCGATTTGAACTTTTTCCATTGCATAGTTCGTATTATGTCAGAACTTTGCAAGACCTATTTTGTATTAAAAAATTAGTAATGCTCTATAATTCTTTGTAATTTGTTGATATAAGCATTATCTTATTTTAAAAATGTATAAAATTAGTGAAATTCATTGAAGATCTTAATTTTAGGAGAAATCTGTTTATGTAGTACTATTCTAATATAATAATTCTAAGATTCTAAAATGGTTCAGAAACAGGCAGTAGGAAAGCTCTTAAGAAATTGGTAAAGTGATGTGAAGAGCATCCTACCTACAAGGTAAGGCCTTATTTCAGAGGATATTTATTCGGAACCCAAATATTAAGGTCATATGTTAGTCATTTTGATAATCTCTGTCCTCTAAAAGCCTGAAATTCACATTGGACATTTCCACAGATGGCTTCAACCCAAGTTATCTTGTTCCAAGTTTTAGCACCATTATTATCTTGTATTGTCAAATTCCTGTGAAATTAAAAGGTCTTTTTGCTGTAGGGGTTTGTCCAAACACTGCAGAAGAGGTGGGACTACTATTGCATTTGGATGAATAGTTGAGGTTTTGATAGGCAGACACAGCTCTGAAAAGGATTAAATATTCAGAAACAGCTTAGGAAGGCACTGCAGAAAAAACAAGTCCATTCATGAGCTAGAAGGAAGGATTCAAAAAAGAAGCAGTAGGATATAACAGTGGAAAGGCAGGTAGAACTGAGTCCAAAAGTCAAGACGCTTGAGTCCTTGTTAAATACTTTGAACCTTTTAGTCCTGGTAGCTTAGTCCCTGCATATTTGTGTGCATATTGGGACCAAGAAAAGATCAGTGTTTTAGGGAATTTAACTTACTGGCAATGAATGAGCTTGGTAAGTAAACACCCATTTGTAAATTTTGAGTGTGACTGTATTTCTTTCAAGAGAATTATTTCTTCAACCACATATTAGATTTCCTATGAAAGACACATAGAATTTTTTTTGAGGGACCTATATGTTTAATTTTTTTAGTTTTAATTTTGTCATCTAATTTTATTATATAATTTTTAGTTTACTGACTAACATATACTCCTCTTTTCTAATATTCTCCAGTCTTTAGTACTTTTAAAATTTTTTCTGATGATGTCAAATTTTAAGTATTATATAATCTGTAAGTAACATATTTTGTGAAATATTTTAAATGTGGATATGTTTTTATAACTATTTTAAAAGTCTTAGTGAATTTTCCTACCTTTACCCCAAATACATGTGATCTTTTTATTATGAATATTTACATAAAAGTACCTATTTCTTGAAGATATAGTCTTCCATCAATTTGCCAACTCCTGTGCTACTGCTTATTTCCCTGGTGCCAAATAAAATTTGTGAGAGGTAATTGATTTGAACAAACTGGAGTCACTCATGCTAAAGTTCCATGACTCTGCTGAAGTTATCTCTCTTTCTGAGACACTGAGAGAGATATGATAGATAAATAGCCAAACAGGCTAGTTTTACCAGCATGAACATAAAGTTTCCACTATTTTAATACTTACAAGGAAAGTAACCCAATGTTAACCAGCACTAATTTGTTTTCTATATTATTTTGATTATTGTCCTTGCTCACACTCCCTTATAAAAACTAACTGCTCTATCATTCCCAGTGTAGTATCTATAATTTCTAGGTGACATGACACCAGATACATGAATTGCTAATACAAATCAATTCTGTGTTTAAACTCAATTGCTATAATTTAGTTTTTCAACACCCCCACGCACTGGGCTGTGGTTTCTAGCTTACTTTCCTATAGGGTTAAATACTTTTCTTCTCAGAGTAGAAATAACATCTAGGTGCTTATCAAGAAATCCACTCTTAGGTCATAGTACAGCCAAGTGAGTTAAAATGTCTATTTAAAAATCTCTTTCTATTATCTGAAGAAAGGTAAAAATATGAGAAGTGTGGTTGTGCTAGAGTATAGGTTTTTGAATGCAAATATCGTTTGTCTTGTTTATGATTATATTACCAATCACTAAGAGAGTACTTGACATACAGAAATTGTTGAGTAAATAAGTGAAAGAATAAATTAATATGCTGATACTTTAAGTATTTTGTAAATACAGCTTTTAATAAAGGATATGTAGATTATGACTTGCTCAAAATTTTATATAACACAAGCCCTAGACATTTCTTTCTCCAAAGCACTAAATTCAATGCGATTATATATAAAAGTTGAAGGTAAAACTTTCATTTTTCCCAAGACCAGAATAATTATGAAAATGCAACTTTCTTCAGGAAACTGCCAGGATCTTTTATTTTTGAGGAAGTGTTCTTTCTTTGTAATGACATAGTCACTGTCCTATTTACAGTATCTGTTCACCTGTCTGTCCCACTGTAATGTTAAAGTGGGCGAGGAGTCAAGAGTGGGGACTTTTTCCAATTATTTTTGAAACTTCAGGCCCAGGATATATATTTACTTATTTGTATCATTATTATTGGAAAATAAAATTTTATTTTATAAATATCATGATGGTATGTCTTCATACTTTTTATTTTGCTAATGTTTTAATCTATTGATGCTGCTATAATAAAATAGCTGAAACTGGGGAATTTATTAACAAAGTAAAACTTTGTTTCTCATCTTCCTGGAGGCTGAGAAATTGCAGATCTACGGGAACTTCTTTGAGGAACCTCAGATTTGGAATCTTCTTGTGACCTCGTCAAAGATGAAGTCTTGACACTTCCCTCTTGGGAAAAGCACTGTATCCTCACACAGAAGGGGCAGAAAGAAGGAAGTCCATTTCCTCAAGCTTATTTATAAGAACAGAAATCTCACCCGTGAGAGCTGTGCCTTAAACTCTAAATTAATTACTTACAGTTTAATTATTTCCCCATCTCAGCTCTTCATGCTCTCACATTGGCCAACGGGTTTCAATGTGTGAATTTTGAGAGAAATATTCAGATCGTAGCACTCAATTTGGTCATTGTTTTGGTATTACAACATGAAGTTTGAACGCTCAGTTTATCACTGCATATAAGATATACATTTTTATTACATTTATTTTATATTCACAATTATTATAATAATAACAATAAAACTGAGGAACAGAAAAATATATGTAGTATTTAAACTCTACCCAAGACTGTTCAGATATTTTTTTCA